ATTACCATCTGATACTCGATAATATGTCATAGTAGGGGAGGCGAGTCATTGTTCGGTCAAGATTAACTGGTACTATGTGCATTGCTTCTTTATTGAATCCTAGCAGAAACGCCTCACACACAGACACACACACACACACACACACACACACACACACACACACACACACACACACACACACACACACACAAACACAGAAAGAGAGAGAGAGAGAGACTACATTGCCCGTCTTTCTGTCCCTGTGTTATGATCCTGGCCAATTTTGAAGTTACACATTCATGAGAAAGAACAATGCCGTCCTATTGCAAAAAGAAATGAATGAACTTGAGAGGAGAGAGAGAGAAAGAAGAAGAAGATGGACGAAAGAAGGAGAAGAAGATGTACCCCAGCAAAGACCAATGAGAATTCCCTTCTTCTGCATCAAGACTCTCCTCCTCCTTATCTCCTCCCCTCTTATTCAAACAAGAAATAATAATGATAATGTTGAATGGCTGAACCAGAATCAATGTCCGAATCCCGCTTCTACTGCAGGTATCACATGAGGTCCACCATAGCCATGGTCACCCTTCTTCCTCCTCCTTCTACAGCCGAGGCTATGACGCCAGGTAAGTACCTCTCGCGCTCTCCCTCTTCCTCGTCCTTGTCCTTTCTCGGTCCTTGCTCCTTCCCCAGAAGCGCTGCGCTGAGTGCTAGTGCTGCTCCAGCCAGCGCTCCAACTAGTGTGTCGCCAAACTTGCACTCCGACAATGAGGAGGAGCACTTTGCTCCTCCGGGAGATATAGCGGCCTGCTTGCCTCTTGGCGAGTGACTTCCTATGGCGCACGGCCTCCAAGCAACCGGTCCTCCCTTTCGGAGGGAAACATCATTGCAGACTCTGATATTGCCCGTACAGGCCCTAGATTCAGACTGGTTGGACTGGTACCCGCCTAGACCTAGCCTACAACTACGGGGCCTCTAAAAATGCCGACTTTTGTTTTCTTCTGCTCGGCCTCGAGTACCCGGCACATCTACCTCTACTTGGTGTGGTACCGGCCTACCTGCTACGTGAGTGTTTTTCGCTGCTCTAAGTGCCACGGACCTCTTTCCCCGCCACTCCAGTGTTTTCCCCGCCGCAACCCTCAATGTCACGGCCACAAGTAAATACTGGCCCTTCAGGCCTTCTGAACGAACAAGTGCCCTTGAGGGTCACACACACACTCAAGCCGACAAGCACTCAAACAGGCATGCAGACCAGCAAGCACGCACATATACAGACTTAGCAAACTCAGCAACAGGCGGGAAACTCAGCAAGGTATATATTCCATGAGCAAAACTCAGAAATCAGTTGTGTGTCTTAGTTTGTGTTTGGCATGTCATTACACAACCCTCCTCTCAAGAGCGAGGTCCCTTCGTAACTCATTCTGAGTCCCCGACAAACGCAGCGTAAGCGAACATAGCAAAGAGTTTTGTGGCGTGCTGTTGCTTGGTCATTGCTGCAATGGCAACCTTGAGCAAGCGATTGTAGTTGGCGTTGAAGCCAGGTCTGTCAGGCGTTCATCCAGCCGGCTGTTCAGGGAATAAGTAGGAGAGCGGATTACGGATCTGCCAACCGTAATGCAGCCTGTTCGGTGTCATGCCGGTAGAGGAACGAATGGATTTGTTATACAACCCCTTGACCGAATACAGATCTTCATCCCTCGTTTCCTGATCCGGGATAATTAAAGCGTGGAGAAGTTGTAACACAGTCTGGTAATTTCCTCGGCCAAACCGTTGGCTTCCGGATGTCGACCAGATGTCATACTCTGTTTGAAACCAGGGAGTTGGGACGTGAAGTTTTTCCACTTAGCACTTATGAAGCACGGGTCCCCATCGCTAACAAGGGTTTTCGGGGTCCCGGACTGCAAAATGTAGCTCTGGTGGAACTCACTGATCACAAATTCAGTTGGGGCATGAGGTGGCAATGAAATCAGATTTAGGAATTTTGAAAATCGATCAACAATCACCATCACTCGCAAATATTCGTTCTTACTTGTCTTTCCCGTGTCCGTGAAGTCAATGGAGACAGACTCTCCGGAACCGTTGGGAATGGGAAGAGGTTTGAGCAGCCCCATGGGTTTTTGCCTTGATGGTTTGATTCGTTGACAGACTTGACACCCAGCCATAAACTTTTCAGCACACCATTTCATCTCAGGCCTGTTAAATTGTTGTAACAGGTTTCCGTAGGTTTTTGCTATGCCGAAGTGTCCACTCCGACCATGGGCCAAATCCAAGAAGTGTGTGCGGAGAGGTTCATGGTTGGGTACACACAAACATATTTTTTCCATAGCGTCAGAAAACCAATCCTTCGCATTCGTGAAAATCAGGTTGACTACTAGAGTCAGCCCGCAGCTGCTCAAGGATCAAACTAAGGACCGGGTCCTTGACAGTTTCCTCCACAAGTTCCTCCTTCAGTTTCTTTCGGAGGTCGTAGGAGTTTACAAGGCAAGTCATATACTCGGGGTGGCGAGACAATGTATCAAGAACTCAATTATAACAGTTTTTTTCGTGTTTTCTTAGTTTAAATATCCAAAGTCAAAGGTGTCAATTTCATGGAACGAGCTAGTCAGCATGGGGGACAGGGTGGTTTGCTCCGGACTTGGGCCTAGGCTGAAGTGATATATGGTCCTAGGTCAACATCGATGTTGATTGGCTGGTCAGTGGTTTGCTCCGGACCTGGGCGACGGATTGTAATAGACACCAGCCTGGAGCAGTGAAGGATCGGGAAGTCGAGGGGGGGGGGGGGGGGGGGGAGTGGGGGAGGGGGGGGAAGCAATCACGATCACGATTGGACGCGATCCGGGCGGAGTGGGGTCGCTGTCTCTTATACACATCTAGATGTGTATAAGAGACAGGTGTGACACTATGTG